GTGGTGGTGGTGGTGGGCGTAGTATGAATAGCGAGTTGAAAAAGATATTGATCGGTGGTCGATAGTAAGTAGTAGTATTAGGTAGCAGTTAATTTTTCTTGTCAAATATTTTTCTATTTTTATGTAAAGTTTTTTTTTTAGTTTATTATTGTTATTATATTATTACGTGGAAAGAGAACTTCATATATATATATATATATATAAATTTTATATATATACATATATACATAATCATCATGCTTCATATATACAAAATTCCACATATCATCAAACTTTCATTTTATTCACAAATTCATCCACTCATTAAAATCCATCAATTTTAAATTATATTTTTTAATTGCATTTGTGTCGAAATAATCTAACTGTGAAGATTTTACGAACAATCAAACCACCATCATCGGAACTGATGGTTGATGAAATTTTTTACATTCGTTGTATTTACCTTGGTATTTTATTCACTCGAAGAAAGTGCAAAGGTTTAAATGTTTCTTCTGACTTAATTAAAATACCAAATCTTTTAAAGCCATATCTAACTACGAATTATACTTTTATATGTCTGTCAAGAATAAAAATAGAAATCATATCGAATTAAATCATGAAGCAAACAATATATTTTGAGTATATTTATTAATTACTAGTGTTCTTTTTACTGACTCAACCAAATATCCCGATTTTGAACCAGGAATACAGCTTAAATCATCATCATTATGTATTTTTGAGGAGTTTGCTTCGAGTTCTTTTAGTGATCTTTGATGATATAATGACTTGTGTTGTTGGAGGGAATTGTCACAAGATATAAACTTCTTGTTGCCAGTTTGTTGTTCAAAGAGAAAAAATGACCGAGTATGTAGATGCGATAATGAATTATTTATTATCGAAAATCGTGTCTATATTGAAACTAATAAAGAATAAACGATAAAAGTTGTATTGTCATGGTTGTTTTTTTTTTGGATTATTGGTTGGGATGGCTAGAAGGTGAAATTAGAAACAACCAAACAAAGAGAAACTCCAATACTAACACCGATTTCTTTTACTACGACGAACTCCCGAATTCTCGTCAAAAAAAAGAGAACCAGGGTCACCGTTCGATAAAACGGCCTTTCTTCTCTTAATCGTGTTATAATCCGCTGGAAGACTAAACTCTTGTGGCGGTGTTTCTCGAGACAACTTTTCGAAATCAGGAACAGGAAACCGAAATTTTTGCAGTTTTACATCGTTGATTATTTTGTTTGGTAAACTGAACTCTTGGGGTGTTTTGTATATAGAGTCAAAATCAAGAATTGGGAAATTGAAGACCATTTTT